CTTCCTTCCTTCCTTCCTTCCTTCCTTCCTTCCTTCCTTTAAGAAGTAATTATTGAGCACCTACTCTGTGTCAGAGATTCAGCTGGATGTCTAGAGTTTATCAGTCTGGGCCCTCTTGCAGCTTAGATTCTTTCCAGAAAGACAGGATTCTCCCAGAATTGATGTCATGATTAGTTGATTTCGACTGCACTAAGTACTACCAAGGAGAAGTCGGGGAGGGGGCACCTTATCTATGGGGGGGAGGAGGGGGACAACCTAGGGCATTCCCTAAGAAAGTGATACATGCAGGCTGATGGGCATCTGAGGTCTGGAGAGGTCACCTGACCCCAGGTGTCCTGGCCCGGGGTCTGCATGCCACCAGTGCCCGGGGCCTGCATGCCACCGTGAGTCTTTTCTGCTGGTCACCTCTGCCTCCCCCTCCCTCCCGCCCACTGAAGGCCTTGGCACCCTGCTTCCAAGCTCACGCTGAGGTGGCTACACGCTGAGAAGGTGAGAATATTGCACTGCATTCTACCCGTGGGAGGCAAGACAGGCAACATTCTCTGCCTTCTGGAACGTTGTAAACTTAAAAGTGTTTTACAAATAGGCAATATAGTCTAATGATTCCATATTCAAGAGGTACAAACAGGGGAACTATCATGTTCTAACTATTCCCCCGTCCTCCTGTGGTACCTGGGACTTATTTTATTTTATTTTTTTATAGACTAAAAGGTGTGTGTCAAGTGGTGAGCCACAGGCTGAGCGCAGCCCGTAGAAGCATTAGTTGGCCTGTACAGAATTTAAAAAATGTTTGAGATGACATTTAAAAATCTGAAAATTTCACATTCACATCTGAATGTAGGGCTTTCTTCGGAAGAATCGGATGATCTGGCCTCAGTGGGCCTGCATTCTGACAGGTCTCCGTTGGCCCTTTAGAGGGGACGTGGGCTCTTGACCTCAGCACAGGCCTTCCCCTCCGCCCCCACCCCTGCAATGGCCCTCCTCCTCCCCTCCCTTCCAGGACCTGCGGGCATGGAGCCGGCAGCTGCCCCCGGCCGCCGCCATCCCATCTCCCCCTCTCTAAGCTAAAGGGCAAGAAGGGTGTTTGACTTGGGAGGATTTATTTTCGTCTCCTAAGCTCTAGAAGACTGGACATAACCCAAGCCTTGGTGGGGCGTCCAGGGCCTCCTCTCCTCCCTGCTTGGGCCTGGTCTGGTTGAGCCTCCTCTCAAGCAAGACCCGTCCTGCATGAGGCGCAGATGCTGGCCCCTGGGGAACTCTCGGCCTCTTGCTTCGATTCACCATGGGGGCTGGCTAGAAGGTGAGGTGGGGTTCTGCCAGGGAGTCCCCCAGCCCCTGGCCTCCACCACTGAGCGAGCCCCAGGGAGCCTGGGACTCCCTGGGGCATAGCTGGCCGGGGCCTCCGTGTTTCCCCACTTATGGACTGCTGCATCACTGGGAGGCGTGTGGCTCCTCGCTGGGGTGGGGCTGGCCGCCTGCCACGCCACAAGAGGCCGAGCTTCCCCTGAAACTGAGAGCTGCATTTATCTCTCACCAGTGACAGAGAAACAAACCAGCACGCTCTGCCCAGGAGGCATTTCCAGAAATTGGGCTCTGGCTTCTTGTTGATGAAATGCCAGATTATCCTGGGCCTCTCTGTGGTGAGGGAGCCATTGTGCAAGAGGTGTTTGGTTTTGCAGATGACAAGAGTTTTTGACATTGAAAAGTTTAAATGATAAATTCGAGAACCTTGTCTGGCTCCCCACCCCTACCGGGGAGGTTGCTGATTTGGGCCTCGGTGTTTGGCAAATTTGTTCTTTACAACCTCCAGTTCCTCTGGGCCTCCCCACAGCTCTGGTGAACTCAGGCTCCCGGTTCCAGAAGACCTCATCTCTCTCAGTTCTAGGGCCATACAGGATAAAGCTCTTTTCTAAAGCAGAGGATGACAAACTGTGGTACACGGGGTGGCGGACTGTTTTTGTAAATAAAGTTTTATTGGAAACACAGCCACACTCATTCTTATTGCTCATTGCTCGTGGCTGCTTTCGTTCCAGAGTTGGAAACAGTACCAAGGACTGGAAAAGGTCAGGGTCACCGCTCAGCAGGGAGGCTGAGTCCCAGGGAGAATGAAGGCAGGAAAAGGGCCCGCGGCCTGAAGGGAGACCTACGGCTCAGGTGAGCCAGCCCCAAAACTGTCGGCCTGAGCTGCTGAGTTTGCAAGCTGACCTGTGGCGGCAGGTCAGCAGACTCACAGGAGGCCAAGCCACGGTGGTCCCCGTCCTGCAGCTGGGAGGCTCCGAAGCTGATCGCCTTCTGCCATGCAGGCAATAGTGAAACCGGTGTGCACAGAGCCCGCTTTGGGTGTCGGGTCCTGTTCTGGGTGCTCAGAGCACACACGGCTCTAAGGGTTCACGCGGCAGGGGGAGGGACAGGGGGCAGGGAGACACAACACACAATGGTCAACCAGTGAATAAGATTAGATCACAGTAGGCAGTAGCAAGAGAATAAAATCGTGTTATGGGGCCGGGAAGGCATTTCTAGGGGAAGGTCGGAGCTTGGAGGGTGAGAGGACCTGGGGGAAGACGCTTGTAAGCAGAGGGAAGAGTTAAGATGAAGAGCCTAAAGTAGCAACGTGCGTGGAGAGTATAGAGGGGCGAAAAAAGGCCAGGCTGCTGAGGCCGGACGGTGGCCAAGTGCAAGAGCGGAGAGAGAGGCGGGCGGTGGCCCCAAGGCTGGTTCCGGCCCATCCTCAGTGCCTGGGCTACGCTCCCTGTAAAATAAGAGCGTATTTCTCAGAAACGGCCGAACAGTCTGCACATCCAAGTGACATGGGAGAGCTTCTCACTGTCGAGGCTGAAGATGGGCCGGCCATCCTCTTCCTCCTTCCTGAATTTGTTAGCGGCCCTGTGTTTTGGAGAGACCCTCGCTCACAAAGCAAGCTGGGGGAGGAGGGGCCTTCCTCTTGCACTGGCGGGGTTTTGGGTTCGGCAGTGAATCACAGACAGTGAGGCATGGGCCCTTGGCTCAGGATTTCCTGGTGTTTCCTGCCAGGGAGACCAGCCCGCTATCAGGGGCAGCAGCCCACCACTCCCTGACGTCAACTCGCCCTCCAGTGAATGGGTTTCCTTTTCCGTTTGGGAAGACACGACCTCTGTCATCAGTCCGTTGACCCTGTCATTCTAACCTTGGCATCTCCTGTTTGGGAAGGAGCGAGCAGACTCATGAGAAGGCAGTGGGTGAGCGGACTTAGCAGATGGGCTTTCGAGGCACCAGCGGGTCTCAGAGGGCAGATGCTTTCTCATCTAGGGTCATCAGCGTATGAATCGAGAAACCCCAGAAGCAGTAGTAGTGTCCGCGCTAACTGCCTGCCCTCCAAGCAGCTCGGGGTACTCCCAGGAGGACTCTCTGGGGCACCTGTGTTATCTGAGCAGGTCTTATCTCTTCTACTTATTCTCAATAAGCCCAGATGATACCTCCTGGAGAAAAGAGCATTGGTGCCGTTGTCATGTTAAACGTAACCATTGGAAACATTGCTCAGTCTCTGAAAACCATTATTTAAATTTTTGCAATCTCTATATGTGTGTGTTCTGGAGCAAAGTTGTGGTCGCTTCACTCTGGTTGTAGCCCTGAGTGTTTCAAACCAGCCGTGAAGGCCACTGGCTCTCCGTGTGTGGCTCCGAAAGGCACTAGGTCATTGCCTGCCTTTTATACTTAATGTAAATACTGAACTTAATGCAGATCTTCCAAACACAATGCTGTCGATCTCACGCTGTTCCTACAATTTATTTGAGATCGGAAATTCCCAGTGGGCTAGTACTATGGTTGTCTGTTTCTTAATACCTCACCTAGCAAAGCGCCACATGTAAAGAGAAGCGGCCAGTTCTTTCCAGGATGCTTAGGGTGCTCCAGTGGTCCATGAGGTGCTTACCACTGAGCACCACGGTCCAGCCATTCAGCAACTTGACTCTGCAACTGCCCTGTGCCAGGTGCTGTGCAAAAGTGGAACCATGAAATGAATGGTCTCATTCTTGTTACTGGAAGTTAGGAAATTTGATGATTCACCACTTCTAACCTGGAAGAGCTGAATCAAATTCCACGTTGTCTTTGTAAAGCTATTTAAACTTAAAGGAAACATTAAAATCAAACCCAAATACTCGCTGATTGTAAACAATTTGGAAATTCTTGAGTAGCACCAAGTAACCAATTTTAACATTTTGATGTATTTACTTTGTCTGTACCCGCATTCTTTCTTCCCGACTTTTAACAAAATCAGATAAGCTCTAGACTACTCTTTGGTAATTTGGTTCTTCCACTTAATTCACGAAACATTGTTCCAGAACAAGCGAGAACATATTTTTTTATGGATGCACTGCGACGTCCCATTATTTATTTAACCAACTCTCCCACTGTTGATTGCGTCCACATTTTTGGTATCATGAACAATGCTGAGATGGACATTCCTGTAAGAAACGTGTCATCGGTTTGCTTGGGATAATTTGTTGGAAGCGGAATTCGGAATGTTTTGTATTCAGCGTGTCCGTGTCCTTTTAACCTCAGCCCCAACTCCACCCCCGCCCCCCCCCCAAATAAGTAGGAAATGGTAATCTACAGCTTTCCCAGTTTCCGAGTCCCAGCCCACGTGGGTCTGCCAAGGAGCCACATGTTACAGATCAGAGCCACCCGTCCTGCCTCTCCAATACTGCGTCGTTTTCCTTCTTAAAATTAGCTGCAAAAAGTGTTCTTGCTGTAGGGAAGAGCTCCTGCGGCTTCTTCGGCCATAGAGACAGCCCGGGTCGATGCAGGAGTCTGCGTTCCCTGCACTTCACGTTGGTCGAGCTGCTCTGTGCCCCAGAGCTGCGGACCCCGGGGCTGACGAGGTGAAAACGGTCTCGCCCGCCCTGTGGGGATTTTTCCGTGCTCAGTGCACCGCAGTGAGTCAGCGGTAACCCGGTTTTGCACAAGTCTAATGCACATCTTAGGGGAGATGCCGTGGTCTGTCAGGTCCAGTCCGAACTTGACCGTGGGGTCCGAAAAGTAATGCCCTCCCTCGTCGGTGCGGAGTCGGGGGGACGCGGGCGAGGGGGCGCGGGGAGCAGTCCCGGCGCCCTGGGCCT